TTTCCATCAACTGATCTTATTTATTTGACGATATTTGGACAACTATGGACATGACCTAATGTATATATTAATCAAGTTCAAGAGCCTGTGATGAAGAACATTTTGTTGAAATTAAAGACATAGACGTGTTCTCATTCACTTTCTTCATGGCTGATTTTAACGTGTGTATAAATATATTTGGATATTTTTTTAAGAGAGTATGGTTTGACTCTTGTAATAGTGTAGGCCTATTGGCTAATGGTCAAACACTCCTTCCAACTTGGAACTCCAAGTCAACTGCCGTATCCCATGCCCAACGTTCTCCGTGTTTGTACCGTAAATGACTAATCGACACACTTCATTTCCTACAGAATAAAACCATGAACTAAGTCATTACTTGAAACGCTCTCATTAATTGATGAGACGCCAAGTTCAGTTTTTGTTCTGTAAATGAGTGAGGATTTCAGAAGAATGGTTGTGCCTGTTTATTTTTGTTGGTCTTCTTCTTCTTCTTGTTGCTTTCAGACCATGTGCTTCCTCTCTCTTCTGCTTCTGGAGATTGTCCATATTCCTTTGACTGTGGAAATCTGGGCAAGCTCAGTTTCCCTTTCACCACTCCAAAACACAACAAGTGTGGAATGTTGGCCGTTTGAGGTTGTGAAGACCCTAATCCCAACAAAATTAAAACTGTGCAGTTCAGTGGAAAGGAGTTTCAAGTGAGGAGTGTTGATCGCTTTCATAAAATTAGAGTTATCCTCAGAGACACAGCTTTACAAAATTATTTGGAAAAAGATGACTGCCATGCCTTGTGCTGCAATATTACTCTTCCACCCAACTCAGCTTTGGGTTCCTTTGACATCCCAAGTATAACCATGTACAAATGTAATAGTTTTCTCAATCACAGGCTTTCAAAGCAGTTCTTGGACTATACAGGATGTGTTAAGAGTAATAATGAGACCATCTTTTTCGAAACGCAAGATCAAGACGATCCTCCACTTTCTTTAGCAACATGGTCAGGGGTTCAGCTTCCAGTGAATAAGCTGGCTTTCTCTGCCGATCCCTTTACATTCATAGCCCCTGAATTCATTGTTAGCATTCAACTTTCTGAAGACTTGTTTTCGATGTTTTGATCACAATAAAGGCTTATGCCATATCAACAGCACTGAAGGATTTTATTGTTCCAAATTCAAAGGTATGCATATTAACTATAAACGTAACTCTGCTTATTTCATTTTCTTTCTGTTCTATTCTAATGAGCCCCAATACTAATTAGTCCATTTAATATTTGCCGCTGAATCCTGATAACTACCCTAAATGATCAGGAAAAAGGATGGCCTTTGATGCTGGGATTGATCATAGGTAATTTACTTCATATTTTCTGTTTTCATTTTCAGCTATCTGCTTTCCAAGATAATTATTTAGAAGCCTGTATTACTACATATATTATTATAGGTTGTTACCAAGTTGTAAAATGTATTCACATTATGAGGCACCCAAGAAACGATAAGCAGAATCTTCGGGTGAAAATTCTAGGCCAGCATTCCCTTTTCAAAAGGCAGAGATTTAAGAATTGATATTGGACAGGTAGTTTTGGGGTCATTGTATCAGCGTTGGTGCTCGTTTTCTGGCACTACAAACAAAAACAGAAACATGTCAGGCTAGGATCAGCGAGTCAATACCCAAATGATGCAGATCCAGATAGTGGCAGAGTCTTCTTCGGAGTCCCAATCTTCTCCTACATGGAGCTTCAAGGGGCAACCAAGAACTTTGACTCCTCCAACAAACTTGGAGATGGAGGATTCGGCTTCGTTTACTATGGTCATCTTATCAATCACTCTCATTTCTTTTAGTGTAATCTTGTATTTTGCTTCATAAAGTTTTGAACTTTAAGCTATTTCATTTATAGGGAAGTTTCAAGACGGGCGTGAAGTTGCAGTGAAACACTTATTCAACCACCACTACAAGCGAGTGGAACAGTTCATGATCAAAGTTGAGATCCTCACTCGCCTGCCTCACAGAAATCTTGTCTGCCTCTATGGCTGCACTTCACGTCAGAGCTGTGAGCTCCTTCTTGTCTATGAATACATCCCAAATGGCACCCTTGCCAGTCACCTACGTGGCAGCTCTACAAATCCTGCATTGCTGACATGGCCTATTTGAATCAAAATCACTATAGAGACTGCCAATGCTTTCTCTTACCTTCATGCTTCCGGCATCATCCACCATAACACAAAACCGACAACATTCTCCTCGACAAGAATTTTTGTGTTAAGGTTGTGAGTTTTGGACTATTTAGATTGTTCCCAGATAATGTGTCACATGTTTCAACAGCACCACAAGGAACACCAGGTTATATTGATCCCAAGTATCACTTTTGCTTTAGGCTAACAAACAAAAGTGATGTGTATATTTTTGGGGTTGTGCTTATAGAGTTGGTATCTTCAATGCCAGCAGTTGATATGGGAAGGAACAGAGATGAGATTACATTGGGGAGTCTTGCAGTTAGGAAGACTCAGAGGAATGAATTTGAGGATCTGGTGGATCTTTGGGGATTGAGAAGGATAATGAGGTGAAGAAAAAGGTGGTTGCAATGGGAGAATTGACATTTCAGTGTTTGCAGATAGATAAGGAGACGAGGCCCTCCATTGATGAGGTTTTAGAGATTTTAATGAAAATTGAGAATGGGAAAAAAGAAGACAAGAATGCGGGGGAAAATGTTGATGGTGGTGAAATTTCAAAAAATAAAGCAGATGTACATGCAAGACCAGTGACTTTACTAAGCTTTGATCAGGCAAAGTTGCTCAAGTCAGCAACTTCACAAAACAATGCGATTGAGAGATGGGGAAAGGGAGAAGTTGATCAGGCAAAGTTGTTTAGCATCTAATCTCTAAGCTTGTCTATAATTCATGGTCCCTGGTCCATGTTTTGCTGCATTGGAAGCATCGTTGCACGTTATTCCTCATCCTTACCCTTTCAAGCCAAGAATTAAGTGATTGACCATGAATATTTATATTAAACATGAACACAGTACAAAATTTTTGTATTCATGCTACTATTCAACATTTTAAATTATCTTTCTTTCAGCTTTACACATCAAAATTTACGCAGTGTTTGGTTTATTAAAGAGAAAGGAAGAGAGATATTTTTAATGTGTTTTGTCTCCCATATAGTGTGCTCTGTCTTTGGTTCGGTGTGTTTAGTTTTCTTTCATGATTGGTGTTCTGGTTTTAGACGCTCTAGTATGTCACCTTAAACACTGAAACATGCGGAACGACATTGTCTCTACCTGGTGTTTGTGGCATTATCCTCACCTTAATTTAGAACACTTTTCTGGTTGTTTGTTCAACAAGATGTTGTTTCAGTGTCCAGGTTTGAGAAGACTAGCAATGACTAAACTATCAGACGAAATAAAAAAGTGAACTTGGCCAATGGAAAACTGCAAAGAAAGGAAAGAACAACGGAAGACGAAAAATTGAGCACTATAGGATTTGTTTTCCCATCATATCATATTTAAATAAGATAAAACAAAAACTCACAGTAACCAGACTACGCAGCACACACCATTAAATTTAAAAGGGATTGATAGACTCCTTTTTGGGCTTGGCTTATGTCTCTTCAATAGGCTGGGCATGAAACCTGCTAAAAAATGACAAATTTCATTTACATAAATTGTTAAAAGATAGTTATGCAACTTAATATAAGCTCCTATCTTTAATATAATAGTTAGTTTGACATTCAATTTAGTCCTAAATATAAGACTCCCAATCTACTTTGTCTCTCATATTTATTTATTTTTTTAAGGTAGTTTTGTAATAATTGCACATATTAAAATTTCAACCAATAGTAGTTTTAACTAATATATATTTAGCAAGAGTATTTTAAGGAAGATATCACCAATTTATTATAAAAAACTAACTTAATTAATTTTCTTAATTTATTTAAATTAGTTAACTAACTCTTATACTAAGAACTGGAGGTAGTACAAATTTTTTGTTGTTTGAAATTTCAATTTATGCAAAATAAAAACTTCCAAATAAAATAATTTGTTCCTTATATTTTTAATACGTATAAAATAAAAAAAATATAAAATAAAATATATGTTAAACTATACAACATAATCTACTAAAGGTGAATTGCATATAATCTCCCGATATTTCAAGATTTAAATGTAACCTACTTAAAAAGTTTTAATTTTTAAACTCACCTCATTAAAATATTTCCTCTATTCGCTGGGTGGATAAAATTTTGCTGTTATAATACATGAAACCTACATTAATTATTATTTTATTAACAAGTATCTTAGTACATGCAATTGCATTTGAGAAGTTTCTTCTTCATGAGAATGGGAAGGCCACATTTTTGGTGCTGAATTATGGAAATAGCGAGGAAAATGAACATAAGAACAGAAAAGAAGAAGAAGGCAAGGCAAGGAAGAAAAGGGCCAGAAATAAAAATATGGATCGAAAACGTGTTTTGAATAATCTAAAATCTTCAGAACTCCGTCACCATCATTTTTTCTCCTAACTTGTCTTCTTTTTCTTCATTGGACTCCAATTATCCAATCAAGTACTTAACGTCTTCGACCACACATTAAGTTCAGATAATGCCCCTGGTGATTTCTCCATGAAAGAAGTAAAATCCAATTATACTTAAGTTGACCCTGATGATGAATACACACACACACATATATATATGCTAGCGTATTTGCCGCGGATAAAACTCGGAGTTTCTGTCACTGGTCTTTTTTTGCCGTTGGGTGAACTTCAAGGCGGAGGGAAAAGCCCTTGGACTACTCAAAGTCATGCTAACATGACATTTGAGGAAGCTGAGTGGGAGTGGGTTACCCTTATTCTCCGGGCCACTTTTCCAAGTCTTGTTCTAAGTCAATGTCCAAGTCAACCGACGTAGTAAGCACTCGGATTCATTCGATCATTATTAACAAACACAAAGGGTTAGCCGAGGAGATCATTTGTGTCATGAGAATCCGCATAATTTGGCTGCCAAAAAGTATGAAATTTAGTATGGTTACTCCTGATTCTCTGCTTCCTTTGCTTTGTCTGTGTTGTTATCTGCTTCCTCTCTCAGTTGCCTGTCCACCAGCGCCTTCTCGCTGTGGAAGTCTTGGGGATATTTACTTCCCCTTCTTCGACAACACAACGGGCTCATTTTGTGGTTTACTGCCCATATCAGGTTGTCATGATCCAAGGCAACCCAAAATGATCCAATTGGGAAAAGAATGGTTCCACGTTAAGCAAATACCCCCGAAGGATGACCAACGTGGAATCATGGTTCTTGTCTCCAAGTTTCGAGAGCAATGGAGATCCAACCCCTGCAGCGTCTTTCCTGAGGAGTCTCCTTTGCTGTCTTTCTCCTTTTTAAACGGGACTTCCCTTTTGAAATGCAAGCATCCTCTCGACCACGAGGAACCCTTCGATTACGAGTTAGATCAAAAATGTGATGAATACCACATTTACCACCCTCCCGAGCAAGATAGCCAGTGGCCCGGTCCTTCAAAAGAATGTTCACGTGTGCAGCTTCCATTTGAACCGCCATCTCCTGGCTCATCCGTATTCGATGAAATCTATATTCAAGTAAATGTATCTCTCTCTTGTTTTGGTTGTATTTCCAGAGGAGGGCAATGCCTACCAGACGGCAAATGCAGCGTCCATGGTATGAGCACCTTGATTGATTGTGATCATTCAGATAACTTCATTTCTCTTCAGGCTTCTTGAAATCTTATTTGTTGATCTTTACCTTGATGATGACAGAGCACAAGAAAATAGATTCCAAGTCTATCACAATAGGTAATGTGTTCCCATGTTCACCTCGAGACAAGAATAGTCTTATTGCTTTTCATTCATGCCAGAGTACTATTGCTTGGTAATGAGTTTTATGAGTATTCCAAGTTATCAAATGGCTATAATTCAAATGATTTAGTAAGCTTTGCTTATAATACATAAAATTTCTTATATATCTTGGAGTTGTTTGTGACCGTTTGTGTTGATGAGAGGTCACATTCCAAGTACATAAATTTTTATATTAATTGTCCAAAAATCGATTAAAATTTCGAAGCTTTTCCTCTTATAGGTGTTGCTTTTGCAAGTGCTGCCGTGATTGTAATTAACTTGATTGCTATTCTATTGTGGAACAAGCGAAGATATAATTCTTTAAGCTCACAAAATAAGTCGAGAAGCATTGCACCTGATAATCCTCACTCAAATGCAATCCTAGAAAGTGGAGATATTTACTTTCGTGTCCCTGTTTTCTCCTATGAGGAACTCGAAGAAACAACAGAAAAATTTGATGGAGCAAGAGAACTTGGAAGAGGAGGCTTTGGAACTGTTTACTATGGTACGTAATCCACCTCAAAAAAATGCCCTATTCTTTCAGAATGTGTGTTGACAGTTTCTGCTGTAAGAAGTTTCCATTCTTCAAAGTTTAAATTTGAAGGACAATCTTATTGTTTTTGGTGAGATGCATTGTTATTGACTTGTGTTAATTTAGATATTGATGAACAAAATAACTTGTTTGTTTGATTTTGAGCAACTAGGAAAGCTTAAAGATGGACGAGAAGTTGCTATTAAGCGCTTATTTGAGCGCAACCCTACATGTGTACAACAATTCATGAATGAAGTTAAGATCCTCACACGCTTGTGCCACAGAAACCTTGTGTCGCTGTATGGCTGCACTTCACATGCCAGTCATGAACTGTTGCTGGTTTATGAATACATTCCAAATGGAACTCTTGGTTGTCATCTCCATGGAAATCTAGCAAAACCTGGTTCATTGCAATGGTCTGCGAGGATGAGGATTGCCCTAGAGACAGCAAATGCATTGTCCTATCTCCATGCTTGTGGCATCATTCACCGTGATGTCAAATCCAGCAACCTTCTTCTTGATCACCATTTTTGTGTCAAGGTTGCTGACTTTGGTATTTCCAGGTTGTTTCCTAAGTTTGCATCTCATGTCTCCACACCTCCAGCTGGCACGATAGGTTATTTGGATCCAGAATATCATCAATTCTACCAGCTTACTGAAAAGAGTGATGTTTATAGTTTTGGAGTTGTACTCATTGAGCTGATATCTTCTAAGCCAGCTATCATTAATACAAGGGACAATGATAAGATTAGTTTGGCAAATATGGCAGTTAAGAAGATTCAAAGAAAAGCATTTAATGAGTTGATAGATCCTTCCCTTGGGTTTGAGACAGAGGACAAGGTTAAAGAGATGATAATCTCAGTGGCAAACTTAGCTTTTCAGTGCCTGCAAAGGGATGGGGAGCTAAGACCTTCCATGGATAAAGTAATGGGCTTTCTGCAGAAAATTCAAAACGGGGAGGATGATTATCTTAAGCACCTAGAGTTTCATCGTTCTAGGTTTTCAAATTGGGAGATCCATACATCTCTCCCAACATCAGCACTTTTGGATGGATCGGTTGGATCATTGAACAATTCATTGCCACAGTGCCCTCCCCATACAGTATGATCACTATTGGAAAAGTAGTTTTTACTATACACTAATGTCATAACATATCCATTTGATTCTCTTGAAAGGATAATAAAGACACAATTTTTGTGAGCATTCATCCTCAACTGAGGATGAGTTAGCCTATCATCTACTTGTACTAGATCTCATATGACAAGGAAAATCCTTGTCATCACGTAAACATCTAAGGAAAACCCTCACTCGAAGAGAAAAAGTTTTAATGTACGAGAGAATTAGATTGTTTCATGCAATAACTAGATTGAAGATTTTATCCGGTTGTGGGGAATTAAGGGCTGCAATTCCTTCCCCATGGAACACGCAACATAAGTCTGAGCTCCCTATTGACAGAAACCAGCATCCATTATATTCCATGTCAGTTATTATCTATGTCTTGTGTAGCAGTTGTATGCAGTTATTTCCTTTTCTGTCTTTTAAGTTTATCCACGCTAGGAGTTATCTGCTAGTTATTGTGGGTTGTGTCTGGCTATATAAGCCTAATATGTGGGAAACGAAGTGCCATTCAGTAACCACTCCTTTTTCTCTCATATACAATTATTGCAGATTCTGGTTCTAGATATTTTCTCTTCACTCATCTCTCCTTTTTTACCTAAATTTCTTTTCCATCCACTTCTGTCCTAACAGACATGGTGCTGGACTTGGCTGAAGGACCTAGACCAACAACATGAATGACACCCGTGTCCTTCTTGATCTCCACATAATGTGCCTCGCGCACACTCTGAAGTCTTAACGCTAATGTTTGGTCCTTAATTAAGTGATTATGCTCACTCGGTTGACAATATATATATCGTCTAATAGGTAAGATTACTTTATTCAAAATCACTAAAGATATAACTAGCCATAACAATATTATCAATTAAATTGTCAAATAATCAGATAAGATTTGATAAAGCGTATCGTCGACGTGGGACACGTTAAAACACTTTTCAAACTGACTTTTTAGTAACACCAATCCAAACATAAATCGCATTACACTAATTGACTTTTACAAAAGTTAGATAAAATAAAAATCAATTTTGCTACTGTTAATCTAAATACGCCTGAATGGCTAGCTACTTCGCTTTGAGGGACAACAAATTTAATTCTATGAAATGACGAAAAACCAAAGCCGAAGTTGTGGCAACTACCCTCTCCATCCCTTTACTTACGGACGCTGGCAGTGGAGGGAGTTTTTTGATTTGACATAAGATAGTAAGGTAATTCAACACACGCAAAAAATAATTTTAGAGTTGTTCCTAAAGACCTCATACAAATCAGTTCATTTTGCAAGATCATTTTGAAATTGAAATTTATTTATTTCAATTGTTCTTATTATATTTCTTTCTCCCTTGTATAAATATAACAAGTGGCTAGTTCATCTTCTTGGTCTTGGTCTATCAACCAAGTAAACTTTCAAGCAAGTTATTGCTTGAAAAACAATCATATATAGTCTCAGACTGAACTTGTTCTATGCTTTTGGAGGGTGCCCACTTTTCTTTGACTGTGGGAATCTGGGCACGCTCTGGTTCCCTTTGACCCCTCCACAGCACAAAGCTTGTGGAATGTTACCGATTCATGGCTGTGAACGCCCCAGCGCTGAAAATACTGTGCTCTTTGGGAAAAAGAAGTTTCAAGTGATGAGAATAGACATGTTCAAAACTGCGGTTTTCATTAGAGACAGAGATTTACAGAAGCGTTTGGTAAATAATAGTTGTGATGCCTTGTGCTGCCGTATTACTCGTCCTTCCTGTATTCTGAACAAAGGCTTGTGCTGCCTCAACAGCACCGAAGCATTTTTATTGTTCCAAATTCAAAGCTACGCTTAACAAGTAACATGTTAAATTAGCTCTGCCTATTCTTTTTTTTTTTTTTGTGTTATCTAATGAACTCCAATTGTAATTTGTCCATTTCATATCTGCTCCTCTTAATTGTGGTAAACAATGAAATTGTGACAGAAGATCAAAACAGAAGACGGGCCTAGAAGCCGGGATTGATAATAGGTACTCTGGTTCTATTTATAAGACAGAAAGAGAAGATATTTTTTGTCCTATGTATAGGGCACCAAGAGAAATTTTTTATATAAATGTACAATTTTATCTTTTATTTATTATTGTGTTAACTTTGTTTACATGAGGTATAGTATATATTAAATAAAAATAAAGTTAAAAAGTTGTTGAATTTTAAATAAGAATTAATGAAATTTAAGGTTTTTCTTAGTATGTGTGAAATATGTTGGAAATAACTTATAAATAAGACCAGAAGGGTAACTTTCCCTTTATTTTTACTCACTTTTAGCTATCTCCTTTTTCCTATTATTATTTAGATCCTATATGACTTAATTATTATTTATATTATTAATATACATATGATAGCAAGTTCTAAAATAATATAAAATTTTTTATACACTATGGGAGAAACAAGATTTTTCATATGCATGAGTACAACAATTTATAAACTAAAATAAATTATTTTTTATATCCAAATATAACTTCAATTCTAAAATAAAGCAGGTTGTTGTTTATTTCTTTCTTGTAACCAATAAAAATATCTTTCACATCATACAGACACAATTATATTTTGTAAAATTATCATTAAAAACATAGATCTAATATCGTTCTAAATGCTATTAGTTTTTTGTGAAATTATCAAATTAATAATCAATTAATATTTAACCTTTATAAACTTTTATGACTTGTTTGTTTTGAGGAAAACAGAGGAGAGGTGGGAGATTTTAATGAGCTCAACTGAAAAGGAAAAAAAAAAAATCTATTTACTTCTCTTAATTTCCTCATTTGACTTGCCTGATTTACTTCTTAACCCTTAGACCACACATTAAAATACAGGTGCGTAAACATCACTGGATAGATAATGCCTGGTCATTGCTCCATAAATAATTGAAAAGAGGTACAATTGGATAATACTTGTTGATCCCGATGATGAAAACATATAATGGGGTATTTTTAGAATCACAATTGGTAAATAACAAAGAGAAAATTACATTAGAGTCCCGTTCAAGAAAATTAAATGTAAAAAAATTTCTTGAAATTATCAAATTAATCTGAAGTTTCAAAGAGCCTTATTACAAGAGAATTATCTTGTTCAATTACTAAATTATCCTCATTTTTTTAAGTATGCATTGAAAGCTAAAAGGACAATCCTTAACAACTTAAGGGATAATGATTAACAATTATCGTGACAGGTATTAATAACATATTTTCTTAATGTATTATAAAGATTTAATGCGTGGATTGTTAACATGATAGGGATAAAACTTGGAGTTTTTGTTACTGCAGTGTCTTTTTGTGGTTGTGGGAACTTCAAGGTAGAGGGCAAAGACCTTGGAATATTCCAAGTCTCGCTAACAAGACATTCGAGGGAGCTCCGTATAGTAAACACAAAGATTCATTCGACCATTATTAACCCAAAAAGGTTAGCCAAAGATATTGTTTGTGTGATGAAATCTCTGCACAAGTAGTACATCTGAACTTCATTTTCCTTTAGGCATCTTGAAATGTTATTTGATGGTGAAAAAGAGTAATAAACACTACAAAAAAAAAACAGCTTATTACAGACAGAATTAGTGATGAAAAATTATTTTGTCACTAATTTCTTACGAATTACCGATAGAAATTCCGTAGTTAAATTTAGTGATGGAATTTTTCTATCGCTAATGTTAACGAAGGATTAGTGATGAAATTATTCTCTCACTAATCTATTGAAAAATCCGTCAATAAATAATTAGCGATAAAATTTTTTTTCGTCAAAAAATTCTATCGCTAATTCTGTCGCAAATTTTTAATTATAAAATTTTAACGATGAAAAATTTCTATCACTAATTCCATCATTAAATTGTTTGTCAATAAAATTTTTGTCACTAATTCCATCCCTAATTTTAAATTTTATTATTTTAGATTATAATCTTACAACAATTTATATAATAAGCTAATTAAGAATATAATGATTTAAATATATTTTTAATTGTAAATTAAATTGATATATTTGTGGAGATGGTGTTAATGAAGATATCATTATCCTTTATCTTATCATTAGATACATATTGATAATAGGAAGACAATTTCTTAGAAAATTTGTTTATATTTCATTAAAATCAATTCCTCTTGATTATTAATAACAATTAAACAAATATAATAAGAATATTAATAATTTTTTTATGCAAATTGATATATGATACAAATTCAGAATCAAAAAAATGAATTTATGTGAACACCGCAATTTATGACCACAAATCAAACTAATAGTCAAGTGAATTTTGAATTTCAATCATTAAACAATGAAATTTGATCATGATATAATTAATACTCATGATATACATTGATTTTGATCTTCAACACAAGAACAAACGGTATATAGAAAGAACTTTAAAAAAAATCAATTATATAGGATACATATATAAGTAGGAGAATGTTGTTTATCATAATCTGTTCAAATCATTTAATTTTTTATATAGAATAATCTATTAGATTTAATTATGGTAGCTATTTTTTGAATAACAAGATTTTTTTTTACTAATTATAAATGCTTTTCATCAAATATATAAAACACATATAGATAATATAATATAGTGTAATATAACACATATGTAGTTAAATTATATATCTTATCAATGCTAATTAAAAAAATTAAATTTAAAAATATATTTATGAAAAAATTATGCATGATTTAAAATTCAAAATTAGTGTCATTAGAAATTAATATTAGACTACAAATGAGGTTTATAATTAGGACCGGAAGTAGTATTAAAAATATTTTTTAAAAAAATTATAAATTATAAAATAAATAGTAAAAAATATTTAAAAATTATTTTGTCACAAAAATAGTTATGATTAAAATTATCATATAGTTTATTTTTAGTTTTTAATAATATATATGTGTACATATAATTGTTTGTATAAAAAAATATTATATATACTTAATTTTGCATAATAAGTCAGTAAGATCATTGCAGTTCAGTTGGTGAAACCGCGCGTGTGTACACTTTGAGGAAGAATTATGTGGTAGTAACACATGGCAATACAAGGTAGCATGCGACATGGTGACATATGGCGATGGAGGTCAGGTGGCAGTGATACGTGAAGATGATGATGAGGTGGCAGTAAATGGAAGCACCACGTGGCATTTTAATTGAAGGAAAATTTCTATTGGTAATTACCAACGAAAAAATTCTATCACTACTCTAATTAGCAACAGAAAAATTAGCGACGGAACAAAAAATTCTATCGCTAATTTCGTAGCTAAATAAAAATTCCGCCATTAATCGCATGTTTTTTTAGTCAAGTCTTATATTGACCGTGTGCGTGGCTGCTATATATACTCGAAGAATTAATTAAAATATCAAAGCTTTTCCTCCTATATATAGGTGTAGCGATTGGAAGTGTTGTGATTATAATTGCCTTAGTTGTTATTCTATTGCGAAACAAACGAAGACACAAGTCTTTAGACTCAGAATCAGTCAAGAAACACCGGATCTGATAATAATCACTCAAGTACTATACTAGAAAGTAGAGATATCTACTATAAAGTCCCTATCTTCTCCCATGAGGAACTCAAAGAATCAACAAACAAATTTGATCGATCAAGAGAACTTGGAAGTGGACGCTTTGGAACTGTTTACTGTGGTAAGCCCCCTCAGAAAGGCCCTATTCTCTTCATAGTTGAATTTTGAAGTTATATTATTGCATTTGGTGAGATGTATTATTAATTTGTTTTAGTTTAGATATTAATGAACAAAGTGTTGGTTTGATTTTAATTTAAACAAGCTAAGTAGGAAAGCTTAAAGACTGACGAGAAGTTATTGTGAAGTGCCTATTTGAACGCAACACGTGTGTACATCAATTCACAAATGAAGTTAAGATCCCAACACAGTTGCACCATTGAAACCTTGTGTCTATGAATATATTCCAAACAGAACTCTTGGGTGTCATCTTGGTGATGTCAAATCCAGCAACCTTCTACTTGATCGCCATTTTTGTGTCAAGCTCGCTGACTTTGGTATTGTTGACTTTTTTTATTTTTTTTATATAAATTAATCTTTTAATTTGACTTTTTTGACAGCTATGGACATTAATATTAGTGGATCTAACACAAATACGTGTCTGTGATGAAGTTAAGATTTAACGCAACTATGGACAAGTTAAGATCTTATATTTTGCAGCATTAATCAAGTTCAAGAGCCTGTGATGAAGCACATTTTGCTGATGACAGACATCCATATGTGTCTCATTCACCTTCTTAGGCCTATTTTGATACCGCTCGAGTCAAAATTATGGTTTTCTTAAACAGTAATTGAAAATTAATTATAAACTGAAAATTATGATTATTTAACAAGTGATCATGCATTCCTACACAAGTCAAAATGAATTATGAGATATAAAAGCTGTTAATAATAGCTTATGAGATAATTATGTTTTTTTTTCCCATAATTGATAATAGCATGTATTGACGTTTTTAATTAGTAACTTATGAAATACATATAATTTTATCAAAACCCACAGGCAGCATGGGGAGGCGTGGTCAGAGACACTGCAGTTAGATGGCGTATAGGATTTCAGAGACGACTAGGATTCCTCCCACCGACTGCGGCAGAACTGATGGCCTTGCTAACGGGTCTGCAGATGTGTAAACAGCAATGATTCAGTAAGATCATGGTCTTCACTGATTCTATAGAAACCATTAGATTGGTCGAAACTGAAGGAGGGGCCAATCACTTTTTGCATACTAAGATAACAGAGATCAGAGAACTAATCTCCTCAGATTGGGACATTAGCATCAAATATGCATCACGGAATGCACTCCAATGTGCAGATATGATGGCCAAAAAGGCACAAGTCATACATGAAGAAATGACTTATTGGCAAAGGCCCCCACGGGAGTGCTTATCTCGACTGCAGGATGATATGGCATTAGCCACTATATCCGCCACAAACTTCTAAATTAAGTTTTCTTGCCTTGTACTATTCCAAAAAAAAAAAAAGCATATAATTTTGGGTTCACAACTGATTTAGGAAAATGACAGAAAAATTATTCTTGAACTTTGAAATCCCCAAATAGTCACTTAAATAAGTAAAATTGTAGCTTAGATACAGGTAACCAAATTGGGATTTGTAAATTTATTGAAATGATCCTATTGCCCTTTATTTATTTACTTTTTTTTAAACTACCAAATACCCTCACCAGTCGGCTGTTCACTGGAGCTCTAGTGATGGCGATTGCGATGGCATCGGCAATGGCCGCCAGACTTCAGGTATAGCAAATAATATCATGTGTATAAATTATTATCATCTTGTTAGATTATTCTTTTTATTGCTGCCATGAGCAAGAACCCACTATTATCAGTATATTCAAGACTTGCGAACATGTCATTAAAGGAAGCTGAGGAGAAATGAGTTACCCTTCACCCCTTTTTTCTGAGTCTTGTTCTTAGTCACCGTCCAATACGTCAACGAAGGTAGTAAGCACACAGGTTCATTCAAAATAAAATAATTTGTTCTTCACATTTTTAATGTGTAAAGTAAAAAAAAAATTACTACCTCCTGTCCTTAATATAAGACCCTGTTTGACTTTTATTTTAGTCCTAAATATAAGACCTCAATCCACTTTATCTCTCATATTTATATATATTTTTTTCAAAGTAGCCTTTCTAACAATGATAGTTCTAGTCACTACACTTGATTAGCAAGGATATTTTAGGAAAGACAACACTTATTTAGGACAAATAACTTACTCAACTTATTTTCTTAATCTCCTCAAATTAGTCGACTAGCTCTTATAATTAGGACCAGAGGTAGTATAATATAAAGTATAGGTTAAAATATACAAAATCTTCATAAAAAAATTTTGGACTTTGGTTAATTGCATGTAATCCCATAATATTTCAAGATGTAAATGTAAACTCCATGAAGTTTTAATTTTTAAACTGAACTCATCAAAATCTTTCATTTATTCCCCAGGTTGGTAAATTTTTGTCGTTTGTAAGACATGGAACCTTTGGTCCCAAAAAAAAAAAGACATGGAACCTACATTAATTATTTTATTAGCAAGTATCTATGTAAAAGTAAAATTGTATTTGAGAACTTTCTCCTTCAAGAGAATGGCAAGGCCACATTTTGGGGCTGAATTATGGAAATAACGAAGAAAATGAACATACGAACAGCGAAAGGGAAGATTCGAAGAAGAAGGAGGTAGGGAAAGGAAGAAAGGTGCCAGAAATAACAACCTGAATCTGAAACATTCAAGGGAATGGGTGCACAACCGATAAAAACGCGTTTTGAATTTTCTAAGTTCTTCAGAACCCCGTCAACATCAAATGCATCTTTTTTTCTGCTACCTTGTCTTCTTTTTCTTCATTGGACTCCAATTATCCAATCGAGTTCTTAACGTCTTCGACCGCACGTTAAGTTCAGATAATGCTCCCGGTGATTGCTCCATGAAAGAAGTAAAATCCAGTTATACTTAAGTTGACCCTGATGATGAATACATATATATACTAGGGTATTTTTAAAATAATTATTGGTAAATATATAATAAAATTAGGTGGTTGCCGTGAATAAAACTCGGAGTTTCTGTTACTGGTCTTTTTGCCGTTGGGTGAACTTCAAGGGGGACGCAAAAGCCCTTGGACTAATCAAAGTCATGCTAACATGACATTTGAGGAAGCTGAGTAGAAGTGGGTTACCCTTATTTTCCAGGCCACTTTTCCAAGTCTTGTTCTAAGTCAATGTCTAAGTCAACCACCGTAGTAAGCACTCGGATTCATTCAACCATTAATAACACAAAGGATTAGCCAAGGAGATCATTTGTGTCATGAGAATCCGCATAATTTGGCTGCCAAAAAGTATGAAATTTAGTATGGTTACTCCTGATTCTGTGCTTCCTTTGCTTTGTCTGTGTTGTTTTCTGCTTCCTTTCTCAGTTGCCTGTCCAACAGGGGCTTTTCCCTGTGGACATCTTGGGCAGATCCACTTCCCCTTCTTCGACAACACAACGGACTCATCATGTGGTTTACTACCCATATCAGGCTGTGATGATCCATGGGGACCCAAAAGGGTCCAATTGGGAAGAGAACGGTTCCAGGTTGAGCAAATTTCCCAGGAGGATGATCAACATGTAATCATGATTCGTGACCCCTGGTTTCAAGAGAGCGTATCGAATCCTTGCAGTGTCATCGACTACAAAGTTGCTTTTCACGCGGAGTCTCTTCCTCTGTCTTTCTCTTTTTTAAACGGCATTTCCCTTTTGAAATGCGACGAGCCTCTCGACTACAACAACGTCTTATATCGCTGTGATGGCTACTGCATTTACTATCCTCCCAAAGAAGCTAGTCACTGGCCCGACCCTTCTAAAGGATGTTCTCTTGTCCAGCTTCCAATATTTGAAGCTAAGTTTCCCGGCTCAACCAACATATCCTTATTGGATGAAATCTATATACAAGTGCATCTATCTTTCTCTTGTTTGGATGAGAAATGCGGTGCCCATGGTAAGCATCTTGACTTATGACACCGGAATTAGGCCACATAACGTCATTTCTCTTTACGCTTCTTGAAATCTTATCTGTTGATCTTTACCTTGATGATGACAGAGCTCAAGAAAAACGATTCCAAGCCTATGACACCGGGTAATACATTCCCACGACATTCAAAATATTTACCCCAAGTAGACAAAACTCTCATTATTTTTTATATTATCTTGAAATCTTTTTTGCTGATCTTTGCCTTGATGATGGCAGAGCCTGAGCAAAATGATTCCGAGCCATTAGTTAATGCATTCCCACGATATTCAAAATATTTACCCCAAGTAGATAAGAGTCTCATTGTTTTCCATATTATATATCTTGAAATCTTATTTGTTGATCTTTGCCTTGATGATGACAGAGTGCAAGAAAATCGATTCCAAGTCTAGAATAATAGGTAATGCATTCCCATATTTACCCCCAACTAGACAAGAGTCTCATTGTTTTTCATTTATGCGAGAGTACTATTGCTTGTTAATGAGCTTATGAGTATTCCAAGCAATCAAATCGCTGTAACTGAAAATGATTTTGTAAACTTTGCGTATAGTAATAGATAGAAATTCTTATATAGGAGTCTTTTGAGAGTGTTTGTGTTGAAAGGTCTCGTTTCCAAACATTCCAAGTGATTGACTGTGTTCGTGGCTGTTATACTCCAAGAATTAATTGAAATTTCAAAGTCTATAACAATAGGTGCTGTGTTCCCATGTTTACCTCAAGAGACAAGAATAGTCTTATTGTTTTTCATTCATGCCAGAGTACTATTGCTTGTTAATGAGTTTATGAGTATTCCAACTTCTCAAGTGGCTATAATTCAACTGATTTTGTAAACTTTGCTTATCATGGATAGAATTTCTTATATATCTTGGAGTTGTTTGTGAGCGTTTGTGTTGATGAGAGGTCACATTCCAAGTACATAAATTTTTATATTAATTGTCCAAAAATTGATTAAAATTTCGAAGCTTTTCCTCCTATAGGTGTTGCTTTTGCAAGTGCTGCTGTGATTGTAATTAGCTTGATTGCTGTTCTATTGTAGAACAAACGAAGATATAGGTCTTTGGGCTCACAAAATGAGTCAAGAAGCGTTGAATTTGATAATCCTCACTCAAATGCAATCCTAGAAAGTAGAGATATTTACTTTCGTGTCCCTGTTTTCTCCTATGAGGAACTCGAAGAATAGACAGACAAATTTGATGGAGCAAGAGAACTTAGAAGAGGAGGCTTTGGAACTGTTTACTATGGTACGTAATCCACCTCAAAAAAAAAATGCCCTATTCTTTCAGAATTTGTGTTGACAGTTTCTTCTGTAAGAAGTTTCCATTCTTCAAAGTTTAAATTTGAAGGACAATCTTAATGTATTTGGTGAGATGCGTTGTTATTGACTTGTGTTAATTTAGCTATTGATGAACAAAATAACGTGTTTGTTTGATTTTGAGCAACCAGGAAAGCTTAAAGATGGACAAGAAGTTGCTATTAAGCGCTTATTGAAGCGCAACTCTACATGTGTACAGCAATTCATGAATGAAGTTAAGATCCTCACACGCTTGCACCACAGAAACCTTGTGTCGCTCTATGGTTGCACTTCGCATGCCAGTCATGAACTATTGCTGGTTTATGAATACATTCCAAATGGAACTCTTGGTTGTCATCTCCATGGAAATCTAGCAAAACCTGGTTCATTGCCATGGTCTGTGAGGATGAGGATTGCCCTAGAGACAGCAAATGCATTGTCCTATCTCTATGCTTGTGGCATCGTTCACCGCGATGTCATATCCAGCAATCTTCTTCTTGATCACCATTTTTTTGTCAAGGTTGCTGACTTTGGTATTTCCAGGTTGTTTCCTAAATTTGTGTTCCATGTCTCCACACCTCCAGTAGGAAGCATAGGTTATTTGGACCCAGAATATTACCAATTCTACCAGCTTACTGAAAAGAGTGATGTTTATAGTTTTGGAGTTGTGCTCATTGAGCTGTTATCTTCTAAGGCAGCTGTCATTAATACAAGGGACAATGATAAGATTAGCTTGGCGAATATGGCAGGTAAGAAGATTCAAAGAAAAGGGTTTACTAAGTTGGTAGATCCTTCCCTTGGGTTTGAGACTGATAACAAGGTTAAAGAGATGATAATCTCAGTGGCAAACTTAGCTTTTCAGTGCCTACAAAGGGATGGGGAGCTAAGACCTTCCATGGATAAAGTAATGGGATTTCTGCAGAAAATTCAAAACGGGGAGGATGATTATCTTAAGCACCTAGAGTTTCATCATTCTAGGTTTTCAAACTGGGAGATCCATACGTCTCTCCCAACCTCAGTACTTTTGGATGGATCAGTTGGATCATTGAACAATTTGATGCCACAATGCCCTCCCCATACAGTATGATCACTATTGGAAAAGTAGTTTTACTGTACCTTAATGTCATAACATATCCATTTGATTCTCTTGAAAGAATAATAATGACACAATTTTTGTGAGCATTCATCCTCAATTGACGATGAGTTAGCCTATCATCTATTTGTATTCGTGCTCATATGACAAGGAAAATCCTCATCATCACGTAAACATCTAATAAAGGAAAACCGTCGCTCAGACAGAAAAAGTTTTGATGTATGAGAGAGACTTAGATTGTTTCAAGCAATAACTAGATTGAAGGTTTTATCCGGTTGTGGGGAATTAAGGGCTGCAATTCGTTCCCCATGGAACACACAACACAAGTCCGAGCTCTCTATTGACAGGAACCAGCTAGCGTCCATTATATTCCATGTTAGTCATTATCTATGTCTTACGTAGCAATTTTATGCAGTTATTTCCTTTTCTGTTTTTTAAGTTTATCCATGTCCTATGAGTTATCTGTTAATTATTGTGGGTTGTGTCTGGCTATATTAGCCTAATATGTAAGAACTACTCCTCCAGTCCTAAATATAAGACCCTTATATTAGTGTCTATAAGGGTCTTATATTTAAGACCAGAAATGAAGTACTATTCAGTAACCACTCCTTCTCTCATCTAGAATTATTGCAGATTCTGATTCTAGATATTTTCTCTTCACCCATCTCTCTTTTTTTCCCTAAATTTCTTTTCCCTCTACTTCTGTCACACGGCACTTGACTTGGCTGAAAGACCAAGACCCACAACATGAATGACACCTGTGTACTTCTTGATCGCCACATAATGTGCTTTGCGCACTCTCAAGTCTCAACAATACTAATGTTTGGTCCTTAAGTGATTATGCTCACACGGTTGACAATATTTATATAGTCTAATAGGTAAGATTACTTTATTCAAAATCACTAAAGATATAACTAGCCATAACAATATTATAAATTAAATTGTCAAATAATCAATAGTAAAAGTGTGAAACTAATAAGGTTTGATAAAGCGTATCGTGGGTGTGGAACACATTAGAACTTTAGGAATCATTAGGTTGCACATTGCGTAAGATAACAACAATGGAAGAAGAGAGAGATTTGGGGTGGAGAAATTGTTTTACTTAGTGAATGATAAAATTATTTTTTGTTGGATTATCTTACCACCCATGTGTTAAAAGAACTCTCTCAGCCAATAAGAACTCCAATGGTTAGTGATTAGGGAATTATTTGTCACACCCCAATTTTTTTGGAGGCAACCGGCAAGGAATATGAGAAATCTCACAATCTCGAGCCTTCTCTTTCACAAACAATTAGTTAATAGGCAAAGGTATCTTGCTAACCCAAAACATACATCTACTATAAATAAATCATATAATTAAAATAATAAACTGTTTGTAGAAATTTCGGCAAAGTCTTCGTAGTAAATCAGACTTTCGAAAGTTCTACAATAGCTGGCAAGTTTAAAACAATATTTAGAGCTCAACTCCCCAGCACAAGTATATATATAATATAATTACATACCAATTTATCCCAAAAGACTACGATCTAACTATAGATTTCGTGGAGCATATAACTATAAAATTAAATACATAAGTATACTCTTAAGTTTACATTAGTTAAAAACTACTCAAAATAGATTCACAGGTTCTGGATCTTCAATGAGACTCTTCACTGCTCAGCTGAAGGGACAAAGTCTGCGGTGCTATCTGAAGTCAAAAATAATCTATCAGTGAATAACATCCCATTATAATATTTAATAAAATATTAATAACTGAAAAAAAATTTAACTTTGAAAGATAAATGGCAAGAATTAAAATTTCTATAGTATACAATCATGAATTAAAAGGATAAGTATATACTTGAACTCATTAAACAATTAAATCAAATCAAACTTCATAATAGGACAACTTGATATATAAAAATGATATAAAACCTTATTCTATTTTTTTTTCTTTCAAATCTTGTCTTTTCATAGGACCTCAATAGGATAACAACCATGGCCTAAAGCCACGAATACAAGCGTAGACACATAGTCCACAAGCATGAGTAACAAATCAAGCACAACCGAAACCACAAAACAAGCGCAGCCGAAGCCACAAAACAAGTGTGAGAACCATTCCCACTAGTATCAAGCCAGCTCAAGATTTGCATGGGGTGCCAAGGACTAATAGTACCGTAACAGTACCATTCTATATCTAGTCCTCCAAGAAAAACTCACAAGCATGCATGAGATCACTTTATCACTAACTTAACAGAGGAGAATATATATATATATATATATTTCTAACCATGGAATCCTTTAAAAAGTATTTTTGTAACAAATGATCCCAATCGGAAGGTTCTCAAATAGCATTTTTAAAACTCCTTTTCAAATTCCAAGCATAAATATTTATTAATTACAAAATGCTGGTTAACATATCACAAGTGGCAATTTATTCAACATAAGAAGCAAAAGTATTTCTCTAAACAATAAAACATTAATAAATTAAATAATTAAGATTGAAAAATGATAAAATTTAAATTAAATTACTTGGATAAACTATTTAGCAACAAAGATGATAATTTAACTAGATTAATAACAAGTAATACAAGTCTTTTTTTATTAAAACCATAATAATGGGATGCTATTCACTCACCTGATAAGTTTCCAAAATAATACTTAAATTTAATCACGTCCGTATTAGGAACTCTCCTCAATCCCCTAAAGCCTAAAAACAAAAATATTACTACTCAAGTCAAAATTTATATAAAAGTTTTCACGATAACTAGATAGATAAAAACTTCAAGAACCATCCAAAACGAAAATTCTAACAACTAGAACTCACTATTTTGACTCCCAAATTCTAATGGCTCTTATAGGATGGGCATTACACTTTTAAATTTATCTTACAAGAGTCACCGTATTGGGTACCATTTCAACACAACATCCTCATCAATTTAAACCCAACGGACATAAGAGAAATTTAACTTGGTCCTTAAATGACAAATAACATGTGTTTTACGTTGAACTTCAATTCTCCTGTTACTTGAATACC